ATTAGAAGAGAAAAGTGCTAGAAAAAACAGGCAAATGCCTGGGAGATTGGGGGAGTGAGAAAATCTCAGTGGAATTGATTTGATTTTATGGGATAGGTGAAATTTGGGGTTGACTTTAAAGGTCTAATGATCTTAGCTATTCATTCGCCAGTTGAATGCAACCTTCGGCAAGACACTAATCTTTCAGCATTCAGTTTCCCTATTTGTTAAATGCAAAAGCAGAATCTGAAAACTTCCAACATCTTTAAGGCTCTGATTTAATGATTCCATAATTTTTCTTAAGAGGAGTTGGTGGACACTATCAGCCACACTTCTTCCCTGTCCCCAAAAGTCACATACATGATACAGACCACCCAAGCAAATGACAAGAGGTATTAAGCATGCCCAGGATACAAAGAGAAGAAGCAAGGACTCAATAATCATACACTTATCGAGAAAGAACCACATACAGTAGAGTAATTAAAACCTAAACATCTGGAGAAAATGCAAACAGTGTTTAATGTTGACAGGTACCAAGAGACCCACAAAAATGATCAATGTGTTCTGAGGAGCCAGGATCCTATTTATAGGATGAAAGTCTTGGAAGGCTCTCTCAGTAGGAACAATATTAATTAGGTGGTGATAACACTGAAAGGAGAAGGAACTGGGGTATGAGGGGGACACAGGAAATATAAAGAACAAATAACATCTAGGTTTTTTTCTTCGCTAGGAGCACAGCGTATAGAGAGTACACGGACAGAACAACTAAATGAATTGGCTGTTCAGAGTTCAAAAAAAACAAAACACTCTTTTTCTTCTTCTCTCCTCCAATGAATTCCACTTGGGATTTTGTATTCTTTAATCCTTGAAGATGTTGTACAAGACCACGTGAAGGGAGAAGAGCTAAGGTTAGTTGGGGGTGATGGGAATGCGCGCTGATAGATACATGCAGAGTATAAAGAAGTTTTCTCTTCAGTCAGAAAACAAACACACTCGGTGAGAATTTAAGAGTAAGACTGAGATTTCAGCATTGATTTTTTTTCTTTGATACATTTGTATTTGTTCTTCCCATCACTCTCTGCATCCCAGATGTTCATTTCAGGTGCAAGTTAAATCATCTTTTCTCATTGAAGATTATATGTATGTAGCCAATAAACTACTGCAGAAACCTACAAGCCTTGGGATTTATCATGACCCAGAGGTGGGGGAGAGCTTTTTCTTGGAGCCATAGCCATAGTGACGGATAGCCTGCCTCTCCTCAGGCACTAGGATCCATTCATCCTTGCTCTTTTGAGCCTACCTCACATATCAGAGGCCAGGTGTAGTATTCCTTCAAAAAAGAGTATATTGAACTACTGTAATACCTGGGAGCCAGCTTTCTATGTCTCTTAGTTAGTCAAAATTTCCTAGACTGACCTATGATGAGATTACAGTTTTTACTGTAACAGATGTCTTCAAGGAAAGCGGCTGTAATTTACAGCAGGCTTGCAGAGCAACAGCCAATGGATGATCATCAATTTAAACTGTAAATAAGGGCCTGTTTTGTTCTGGACTCTGATCCCAGTAGTGCCCCTAACAAGCTGCCCGCAAAGCCAGGGCATGATGCCCGCTGTTGGAGACGTGTTGACTGAGGAACTGTGCTTGTCCTCGCAAGCCACTAAAAATAGCAAGAACGCAAAGGCAAAACAGGTTTCTGGGAATGCAAGACAGTTACCCTGATGTCAGTTTTATTCCAGTTGCTCTCACTGATGTGAAAAGGAGAGAGAAGTATCTGGTACCAAAGATGTTAACTTGCCAGACAGCACCCCAGAGACCAAAAAGAATTAATACAACCCTTTAAAGGAGTCCGCCTTTTCACCGGAGGATGCAGAAGTCCTAGGAGAACTGGAGCAAACGTGAATGCCTTTGTCCTGCATAATTAATGGAGCCTCAGAAATTTTTTCTCTTCTTCTTCCTTCTTTTTGTAACATAAACTCTCATTGATTGGGGAAAATATATTCACACATTAAAATGTTGGGCAGGTACTATCTCTTTGGTTCAAGTATGTCCCTTTGCGGGGGGGAAGTACATATTTCATGGTGATAAATTCAGCTCATAAGTAGAAAAACTGAACACAAATATACTGCTATGTCAACTTTATTGATTTTCGCAGCATTGTAAAGACCTTCATCGTCCTCCAATATTTCTTAAATCTATCAGCATCTCAGAAAGTGACCCTGAAGGCCTCATTTATCTGTGGAGGAAAAGATCCCTTCTCTTAGGTTCACCCATAAACACTGTGATTTAAACAGCTCACACCTGCCTCTGCTTCTGGAAAGTAGCCTGTGCAGACAAAGCTGTTCTTACGAGTCATGGGTAATGGCTTCCTTTTCTCTGGAAAAAGGATCAGCCAAGTCTTAATTTCAGCCACGTGTCCATGGCCAAATGTCTTTTTTAAAGTCCTGAAGATAACTATAGATTAAGTATGCAGCTTGGTTGATACTGATGCACTGATTGACATGAGTGAATTCGAGGGTAGGGCTCTTTTCTGTATCATGTGTAAGCATTGCTTCCAGTGTTGGGTGCTACATCTGGACTTGAGAGTCTCACTCTTCAAGTCCTGCTCCTGCTAAGAATCTTGAAGTCTCCTTCAAGGTGTCACCACTACATATTCTGCTGCTACAGAAAAACCTATGCTCACTTCAATATTTGACATCTTATTTTTAAAAATCATATTCCTTTCTAATGGCATCAATGAAACAGAGACTATCACTAGATGAGAACAATTTGAAGGTGTCTTCCGGCTACAAATTCCTTTGTTTTTGTCTATCTCACCTTACAAATGGGAAAATGTAAATGACTCACCCAAAGTCACCTGCAAGGTGGAAGCAGAGTCAGAGATTTCTCAATCACAAAAATTCAGAGTGCTTTTCCCACCAGAAAAGGGATCCTTGAGGGTGGAAAGCTGCTTATTTCTTTTTACACCCTCTGGTGCCTACAGTTTGTTGATTGTTAAATAAAATTTACTAAAAATGTGAACTAGAGGAAAAATCAATAGGGATTACAAGAATCGATCCAAAGCCAACAAACATAACTAAATCTCATTATAAAAATAAAGGATGTAAGTTCAGCTCCTCAACTTAGGGCTGTATACAACAGATCAAAATTGTGTAGATCTAATTGTTGATGGACCGTAATCAGCCTAAGGAGAAGACAGTAACGCTAAAGGGTAAATCACTAAATCTGTGAGGTTGACATTATTGAACTGTGCTGTCCAATCCTGCGGCCACCAGCCTCATGTGGCTATTTACATTCAAATTAATTAAAATTAAATGAAATGTAAAATTCAGTTTGTCACTCACACTAGCTATATCTCAAGTACTCAACAGCCCTCAGTGGTTAGTGTCCACAGTACTGGACAGCGTAGAGGACCATTTCTATCAGTGAGGAAAGTTCTACTGAAGACTGCTATTTATACAGGATAATCACTACTATTACTTATAGTAATTACATGAAGGAGGAGGAGAAGGAAGATGAGAAAAGGAGAATAAAGTGGAGAGAAAAACATTGATTAAGGCTTACCTATTCTGTGCTAAACACTTAAAATGCCTTAGTTTCTATAATCCTAACAAATTCCCTTATGAGGTAGGTACTACAATTATTCCCATTTAAATTTGATGACACTGTGCTTCGAGAGATTAAGTAAGTCACCATAGTTATGCACTTGTTAATTGGTTTAGCTGGGTTTTCACTCAAGCCATCTGACTCCAGAGTCCATGCACAGCTGGGAAATTATGCCACTTCTACTGAAGAACTTGAGATGTTTAGGGCCAGAAGAAACATGACACTCTACATCAGTGGTTCTTAACCCCAGATACATACCAGAAGCACGTGGGAGCCTGCTCCAGATATAGCTCCCTGAACCCTACACCAGAGCAACAGGGGTGGGCCTGAGGCTTGCCCACTGGAGGACAATTAGTGCTTTGAATATACAGCCAGAGTTGAGGATAACTGGTTAGCGATGTACTAATCCACCTTCCACAGGCCAGACAAGAAAATGCAGAACCTACCCACGGTCACTAACCGTACCTACTGACAGATCTAAAACAAGAGCCCGGATGTCAGTGTTACCATCATATGAGAATATGGCTTAGGACACATTAATGAACAGCACTTTTCTATTTCCTGATGGATATCATTATCCATTTATATAAGGCATATATAATGCTTACAGAGTATATGTCAGAATCCAGAATTTGATAGTGCAGATCTTTGAAACCAATAATGAATATAGCACTACTCTCCTCCTGAGACAGGTCTTTCTCATTTAACAGCAAACATTTTCTTCCTAAGAAAGTACCATCTTTCTCTGAAGATTAGATAAACCCTCTGCATAGGAGGAGTATAATGTAGTGGAAACAGAATGCCTGCCAATAAGGAACCTGAATTCTAGTCCCAACTGTGTCCGTAACTCTGTGATGGAGACAAGCCATTTCTTTTCTTTGAACCTTAGCGTTCTTATTTGTAAAATTAGGGTGTGGTACATCATGATCTCCAAGGTTCCTTCCAGCAGTGTCTCCACCCCTGACATCTGTGTGCAGGCTGAACAAATTTTAGAAATGAAACCTCCAACCTGCTGTAGGACAAGGCATTCACTTCAATTCTAGCCAATCTATTTATTCCATGTCAAGGGAAAACAGAGGGACATCTTACGAAAACCCCACCTTTTGTTTTATCAAGACTCTGATTCTTGTCACTGATCGGTCAGACCCCTTACAAGAGTCCAAACATCCAATAACAAGACTCATTCCCTGTAGTGCCTTGTGGAAATGCTAATGATATATCTACCCGGCTCCCTCCTACATTCACAGCTGCTGATCTGAAAATTACGATGTGTCAGACATTTTACCACCTTAACATCCATCAACTCATCTCTACATCTCTTAAAGCTTACCTGTAATGGATTTTTAGGTGGCTCAGAGAGCCAGCCAAGACAGAAGTCACACCATGAATAAATAGCATGCTGAATATGCATTCCTTACCTTACGCTTGTTGGTAGGACACACGTAGAGGTAGCTTAAAATTGTTTTCAACCCAACTTTATCATTCAGCTTCTCATAGGTTGTCCCATAATCAGTTGACCTATAATTCAAAAGGAGCATTAATGAGGACAGATGTATACGTCATTTGCCTGCTTGTCAGTATAATGTATGTTTTACATAGTAGGATAGCCCTCCAGAGGTTTCTAAATGATTCATGTAGTATATAATGATGCTTAATTATGTACACAGCAGCATCATGTGAGTGGTTAACATTTGCATTTAAATTGAATTGGTAAAAATTAAAACTCCATCTCTCCACTGCTCCTTAACGTACGTGCATTGCATAAAGAATGTGTTTAATTTTAAGATTAAGAATGAGGGTGTCGCTTAAATTGGCCAAAGAAATAATGAGCTTTTACTTAGATTTGACATTTCCAAACTTCTGCTTTATCCTTGGCACAGTGGAAAAGCAGGTTCTCCTGATTTATGTACAAACTGTTTTTTGTTTCATGAGTCATAGAATATATGGCAGGTCAGTCCCTCCAAAGGTCATTCTGTCTTTTCCCATTATTTAAGAATAAGAAAATGTCTTAATAATAAGTGAAATTTCACAATTCTACTCAGTGGCCTTTTCCAGTGTTAAGCAATCTGAGGCTGAGAGTATATTACTTCTTAGCAGTGACCCTGCAATTTTTTTGGAAATTCTCTCATCTTTTCTTAACATTGGTCAAGAACTTATTATTCAGACTGAATAAATAGGCCCTAATCACCTTCTCCATATAAGTCTATTATCTATTTCAGATGATCAATCTTATTAGATCATCATTACAACCATGTACAGTAGGAAATACTATCTGTATTTGAAGAAAGTGGATGAGAGAACCCAAACATATAACTGGCTTTCTTCAGGACCAGTCTGTGCTCTAGCCCAAACACTGGCTGATAGCCAAGAATATTTGAAGAACATCCCAAAACTCTTTGACAGAAGATCTTATTTATGAAGCACAAAAGGCTTTAAATTCTCCTTCCACATTCATCTTTTTTTCTCCTTAAACTCATGTTGATGTGAAATTTCCTCCTACTTTCTAAGAAATATCTGAGACTTCTTTCTTTACTCAGTCCAATCTTGGTGTTTGATCATTTGTTTTTTCCATTTTACCCTGGCCTTACTGGGTCAACGTTCTCTTCTAAGACTTGCTTATCTCCAAAATTTCACTAGCTCCTTTTATTGGATAACTTTTTCTGTTTAGTATTTGGAACAATACAAGTTCAAGAACAACAACAAAAAATAGATACAAAATCTATGCGGCGGTGATGGGAAGAAGATGAAATGTGCAAATATTTGTACATTAATAAATTTGCCTGGTGATAGGTGGAAATCAGTAGGACTATGTTGGAGATGACAGAATGGTTTAGTTTTCCAGTGGGGTAATGGGAAAGGAGGCTAGAGAAGTAGGGTTAATCCATAAGGACATAATAATTAGTTTCTTATGATTTCTATTAACTTGATCCTTGAGCTACTCAATGAATATTTTTACATTCAAAAAAACATATGACAAGGGCAAACCCTATATTTATATGTATGTGTGTGTGTGTGTGTGTGTGTGTGTATTTAACTGAAATCCCGATGTGGCAAGATGGTAATGGAGTGACTAGTTCAGACTGACATTAACAACTTTTTTTTCCAGAGAGCTTACAATATGTTATTGGGTACTTTTCTCTTATAAAAATCACCAATACAGATCCTTCAAAGTATCCGTCATTACTTTATGTGCTATTTTTTGTCCCTTTATTTCTTAAAGCTCAAAAAGTGAATTACAATTTGTCAATTTTCCATTCCAACAAAACTACATGTTTAAATGTTATGCCATTATAATAATCAATAGGTAGAATGAGAAAAAAAAGGATGCACTTCCAACACCCAAAATGGCATAGACTAGCAATTGTCCATGGTTGTCCCACAGAACCAGAATTAGACAGAGTGCTGACCCGTGTCATGGGTAAAACCAACAATCAGCTTTGATACACTGGTACAATGATACAGGAGTGAACCTACTCAACACTTCCAAGCCAGCTGGTAAACAGGGCTGCACCAAGCTCTCCGAGTAGCTACTTCCATCAGCCTCACCACCATGGCCTCTCCTTGGAGAACTCCCAGATCTCCTCACAGTCCCAGCAACCAAAAGCTTGAGGGCTGGCACATCAGAGGTCCTCAAGAAACTTGTTCCAGCACCTGTTCTGACTGGTCACTTCCTATGCCAATCAGGCTACACCTGAGCCCCCGTGGAGGAGGCAGTGACCTTGGTGGAGGCACTGAACCCTGGAAGGCAACTCCTGGTGCCCATCTGCAAACTCCCCTTCACAGCTAACATATTGTCCTAGTTATGCCTGCATGGCCAAATGTGGGAAATTCAGTCTCCCTGGGATGTGGGCTCTGAAAGAGCAAAGGAGGGACAGATAGCAGAGCAGCAGGCTGGCTTTTGAGCCAGTGAACTAGCTGTTAAATATTTTAAGTATCATCCTTAGATATGGGGGAGAGGAGTGTTATTCAAGATCAAAAAAAAAAAGTTAGGAAATGCTTGATTAGGCAAAATTTAATGTTCCTTTACTTTAGAACTTATAAATTTTATTATTCTTATATACATATATAAATTTTATTATTCTAATATACACTGTGAACCTCTTACATGCATATTTCATGAAGCATTTTCAAAACATATTTGATTATAGGATTCATTCTTGAGAGGTATCTAATGAGATTAGTGTCCTGAACAATATACTTTGGAAAACCATATCAAAGGCAAAAAAAAAAGAAAAAAAAAGGACTAAAGAAAGATTATGGATCTTGGTTTCATAAGGAAAGGGGAGCAATAAAAATATTTAAAACAAATTAAATTTGCAAAGAGAAAATGCCAGTTTTGCTAACCATAAAGTGACTGCTGTTGCAAAGTCAAAAAAGAGGAAGTAATCTTAAAAAATACGTATCATAGAAAGACGTACTTAAGATGCAATATAAGCAGCCTTGAATTTGCAACTGGTACCATTTTTTTAAAACATTCCAAAGCACACATTTTTTTCAGGTTTTGTTTATAAGTTGACTTATCTACAGAAGAAAAACATAGCTTCTGTCAACATCTAGACTTGGGCTAGACTTAGCTTAAAAACTAAGCATTCCAGGAAAATAAACAGCAAATGATTAAATCAAGAATTATAGGTTCTTGCTTTGATCCTTAATCCCTACTCTACTTTTTTACAAACATATCTTAAATATGTTCAGAACATTTGAAGTATTTCGTTACTTAAGAATTTACTATATACATAGAACAGAGATGAGTTTCTTGGAGGGGTGGAGATACCACATTCAAGGCATGGCACCTGCCTTCCAAAACCCTGTGATCTCTTTAAGATGACAAAGTCTCCTATCAAACTGAAAGAAGGGACCAACTCAAGGCATGGCTAGTTTCCACAAGGAGTGGCAGAAATAAAACGTGTGATTGGATTTCCTCTACTATAATCTTATACCATCAAATGAGATAATAAATAAGCACAGAATCATTTGTAAACTAAATTAATCCATAAAAAGCACTGAGTACAATGGCTGGTATGTAATAAACAATCTACAAATGACAGCTTTTGTTATTCATTTTATCCCTCATTCTTTTTTCTTGATGATTTTTTTGTATTCTTTGCCCAGCACTTACTCAAACCCATTACATGCACCTTCCAGGAAAATCTCAACCGCTGAAAATGAGTTAGCGTTAGTTTGCTCAGAAACTAAGACATTCATGAAGCTATTACCATTTTAAAATGTAATCACATTTAGCCTATCATATTTTACTTTTTATTATTTTTTATTGAAGTATAGTCAGTTTACAATGTTATGTCCATTTCTGGTATATAGCATAATGTTTCAGTCATACATATACATATGTATATTCATTTTCATATTCTTTTTCATTATAGGTTACAATAAGATATTGAGTATAGTTCTCTGTGCTATATAGAAGAAACTTATTTATCTATAGCCTCTCATATTTTAAAGGAGATGCGCTAGTCATTTTGTGTGGGGCTTGGATCACAGAGGTAAGGCTAAGAATGGGAATTTGACAGTTAAAGATCCTGCACTCTGCTTCTATAACAATTGTCCCAGAAATCCATCGTTGAGTAGACTATTATGCTTAAGAAACTTATCAGATAATAAAAATGAACCTTTATTGAATGCTTACCATGTGACCTCAGCTCATACAGAATCCCATGAGATGGACACTGATATTAGTCACATGCAGAGACCAGGAAGACCTAGATAGAAAACCAACCTGCTTAATTAAAGCCACAGAACTTGGAGGTACAGCCCCCAATCAGGCTGCCACTCCAGACTGGGCATCCCTAACCCCAGGCTGCACTGTTTCTCTCAAAAGCTACAAGAGGAAAAGTAAATGCATTTACAAAATCTAGTTTTGCATTTCTTGGTAAAACGAATAGGAACTGAAATCGTTATAAGTTCCTGGTGGTGTAGGCCAAAACCTAGCTTCACTTACTTTGTAAAGACAGGGCCTGCCAGGGAGGATCCATTTGAAGAAAAGTGCAAGCAGAAACTCTCACAGTGATGTAAGTAAGAGGAAGAGAAAGTCAGTCTTGGATCTGGTCCACCCTGGCTCCTGGGGAGGCTAGGCATATGGACAAAGTGAGTGCGTCAACTTGTTAATGATCTGATGATGTCTCGTGAAGATTACCAAGATGTCACAGTCTCAGAGAAAGAGCAAGTACTTGAAGCCAAACAGAACTGGATTCAGGCACTTGCTAACTGTCCTGCTCTCCACCACAAACTTCAGACTTGCTCTAGACAAAGTCACATTTACTTCTGTATCGAATAGGTTTGCAATATAATTGTGAGATGCCCATTTCTCAGTTACTCTCCTTTTTCTGCCTCCTCCCCATCCCTGCCCACTCCAGCCTTGTTATTCTCTGTCCTTGGAAAGCTCTTTCCCCAGACACCCTGACAGATGCCCCTCACTTCTTTCCGTACCCCACTAGTGCTGAATGAAATAGTGACTCCTCTCACTCTCCCAGCATGTTCCATCCCCCACCAGAATGTAAGCA